TTCGATGAAACCATTGGAGAAGCCGTTATTGACTAGGACCTGCCTTACCCTACAGAGTTCTTCGTCGACTTGCTTCCATTCTGAGCTGTGGCTGAGAGCACGGTCGACGTATGCGTTAACAACACTCCTCTTGTACCTGTCAGGGCAGTCGCTGTTGGCATTTAGGCACATTCCTATGTTTGTTTCCTTAGTGTAGACTGCAGTGTGGAAACCTCCGCCCTTTTCCATGACTGTTACATCTAGAAAAGGCAGCTTCCCATCCTTTTCCGTCTCGTAAGTGAAACGCAGCACGGAACTCTGCTCAAATGCCTCCTTCAGCTTCTGCAGATGTCTGACATCAGGTACCTGTGTAAAAATGTCGTCAACATACCTGCAGTATATGGCCGGTTTCAAGTTCATGTCGACTAAGACTTTTTGCTCGATGGTACCCATGTAGAAGTTTGCAAACAGGACACCTAGGGGAGAACCCATGGCGACCCCATCTACTTGCTTATACATGTGCCCATCCGGGCTCAAGAAGGGTGCCTCTTTAGTACAAGCTTGGAGTAGTTTCCTCAGAATACTTTCTGGCATGTCAAGAGGAGTACAGGCTGGATCACGATACACTCTGTCGGCTATCATTCCGATTGTCTCGTCCACAGGTACGTTGGTAAACAGCGATTCCACGTCCAACGAGGCTCTTATCCCTGTGGCCCGTGTGCCCCGCAGTAAGTCCACAAATTCCTTTGGAGACTTCAGGCTGAAGGCGCAAGGAACATAAGGAGTCAGCAGGCCGTTGAGTCGCTTTGCCAATGCCACATCACCCTTCCACATCACCATGCCACATCACCCTTCCCACCTCACTCAAATGTAGATATAAAATCAGAGATACGTTCTAATCAGTTGTGTATTTGTGAAGTCTTTGAAAATGTAATAAGTTTTACAAAACGCGCCCGTGTCGCGTCAGACTAGAAATAAAAATGAATTTTGGAGAAGTGATTTTTGATTTACCTCCAACAGTGAAGCGTAATGTACGAAAGATTGAGAAAATTCGTGTTAGAATTATTAATCTTACTTTTTCGGTCATATTTAATAATATATGTCTACAGGAAAGACTGCCACCAAAATATACTAATATTAAAGTGCACGACCCAGCAGCAAGGAATCAAGCCTTCACGATAAAATATCGCCAGGATCTGATTCGTGATCAGATATACAAGGCAGAGAATGAAATCAAAGACAACAAAACGCAACTACTTCATGCTACAAACGAGTGGAGAAATAGCAACATCGACCATAGTATCCGTACCCGCATTGAACAACACCTCGACATCCTCACAGACCAACATCACCTCAGCACTGAAACAAGGATTATCAAGAAACTAACAACATTATATGGAGGACCTATGGCAATTCCACGACCAAGAGATGGCTTCCTGAACCTTGCAGGAATTAACCTCACTGAGGACCAAGTCACTCTCCTAAATCTGGGCATAAACTGTCATGTTATGTCCAGACCGAGTGAAATGGCCCGGAAAGTAGAGTTGGAAATTCTATTGGACGACATATTCGACCTCGAGACACAAAAGAAGGTCACTACCAAAGATACCTTACAAGCAGAACTTATTGCAGAAGGAGGAAAGAATCGAGGCAACTACAGAAGCACCATACTGTCCCCCGAGCTTAAAGCGGCAGCTAAAAGCCTTCGTGAGAACAAGGAGATAGTTGTCAGGAGAGGTGACAAGTCGCCAATATATGTCATTCTTAAAAAAGACGAATATCTGGCGAAAATGAACATCATACTCTCTGACCAAACTAAGTTCCAAAGGGTAACGAAGGACACTACAGCCGAATTAAAAGCAAAGGTCAACAAACTGATCGAAACTGTAAACGCCAAGAAATCCGGACTCCACCTGCCAAAGATCATTGGGGAATATAAACCTGGATATGCGTATGGAAATGTCAAGACGCACAAGCCTGGAAACCCACTTCGGCCAATTATTAGCCAGATACCCACACCCACGTACAGACTGGCAAAGCGACTCAACGGCCTGCTGACTCCTTATGTTCCTTGCGCCTTCAGCCTGAAGTCTCCAAAGGAATTTGTGGACTTACTGCGGGGCACACGGGCCACAGGGATAAGAGCCTCGTTGGACGTGGAATCGCTGTTTACCAACGTACCTGTGGACGAGACAATCGGAATGATAGCCGACAGAGTGTATCGTGATCCAGCCTGTACTCCTCTTGACATGCCAGAAAGTATTCTGAGGAAACTACTCCAAGCTTGTACTAAAGAGGCACCCTTCTTGAGCCCGGATGGGCACATGTATAAGCAAGTAGATGGGGTCGCCATGGGTTCTCCCCTAGGTGTCCTGTTTGCAAACTTCTACATGGGTACCATCGAGCAAAAAGTCTTAGTCGACATGAACTTGAAACCGGCCATATACTGCAGGTATGTTGACGACATTTTTACACAGGTACCTGATGTCAGACATCTGCAGAAGCTGAAGGAGGCATTTGAGCAGAGTTCCGTGCTGCGTTTCACTTACGAGACGGAAAAGGATGGGAAGCTGCCTTTTCTAGATGTAACAGTCATGGAAAAGGGCGGAGGTTTCCACACTGCAGTCTACACTAAGGAAACAAACATAGGAATGTGCCTAAATGCCAACAGCGACTGCCCTGACAGGTACAAGAGGAGTGTTGTTAACGCATACGTCGACCGTGCTCTCAGCCACAGCTCAGAATGGAAGCAAGTCGACGAAGAACTCTGTAGGGTAAGGCAGGTCCTAGTCAACAACGGCTTCTCCAATGGTTTCATCGAAGACATCATAAGAAGGAAAGTGAAAAGCCATGCAACCTCTGAAGAGACAACTAACACAACACCTATACCCCCTATTAGACTATTTTACAGGAACTTCTTTTCCACAGCTCATAAAACGGAGGAAAGGGTCCTGAAAGATATTGTTAATAGAAACGTTATCCCTACAGACAAAAATCAGAGGATACAACTGACGATTTACTATAAAACCAGAAAAACGGCCAGTCTACTCATGAGAAACTCTCCAGACACAAAACAGAACGCTTTAAAAGAGACTAATGTCGTCTATGCCTTCAAATGCCCACTTGGGGACTGTAAGCTCCAAAAAACCCAGTATATAGGCAAGACAACAACATCTCTTTCTAGGCGTTTAACGATGCATAAGCAACAGGGCTCCATTAAGGAACATATAATCTCTTCCCATAACCAAACCATCGCCAGAGAAATCCTAGTAAACAACACAGAAATCATCGATAGATACAGCGATAGCAGGCGGCTTGACGTTTGCGAGGCACTACACATCAAGAAGTCAACACCAGCAATCAACAGCCAATTATTGCACAACTATATTCTACCCACCTCAAGACTCCGCTCCAATATAGAAGCATCAAGAAATATGGACCAATAGGCTTTCTACAAACACTTCTATTCAATACCCATTGTTTCTGTTCTGTCTTGTGTTGATACTTTTAATACCCTATTAATATCCCCTCCTGTTCTGTCTTGTGTTAATGCCACATCACCCTTCCCACCTCACTCAAATGTAGATATAAAATCAGAGATACGTTCTAATCAGTTGTGTATTTGTGAAGTCTTTGAAAATGTAATAAGTTTTACGAAACGCGCCCGTGTCGCGTCAGACTAGAAATAAAAATGAATTTTGGAGAAGTGATTTTTGATTTACCTCCAACAGTGAAGCGTAATGTACGAAAGATTGAGAAAATTCGTGTTAGAATTATTAATCTTACTTTTTCGGTCATATTTAATAATATATATATATATATATATGGTTAATTTTATATATATTATATATATATATATATGTCGTACCTAGTAGCCAGAACTCACTTCTCAGCCTACTATTCAAGGCCCGATTTGCCTAATAAGCCAAGTTTTCCTGAATTAATATATTTACTATAATTTTTTTCTTATGAAATGATAAAGCAACCCTTTTCTCTATGTATGAGGTCAATTTTTTTTTATTGGAGTTAAAATTAACGTAGATATATGACCGAACCTAACCAACCCTACCTAACCTAACCTAACCTATATTTATAGGTAAGGTTAGGTTAGGTAGCCAAAAAAAGCTAGGTTAGGTTAGGTTAGGTAGGTTAGGTAGACGAAAAAACATTAATTCATGAAAACTTGGCCTATTAGGCAAATCGGGCCTTGAATAGTAGGCTGAGAAGTGCGTTCTGGCTATTAGGTACGACATATATATATATATATATATATATATATATATATATATATATATATATATATATATATATATATATATATATATATATATATATATATATATATATATATATATATATATATATATATATATATATATAATTATATATGGTCTGACTGGTTAATTTTCATGCACAATTATGAACCCCTAAGTCATTTAGGTGGGTGTGAAAATTAAATTTTAAGGTCAGCACAGAACCACACACACACACTATCAGCAGACGACGCAAGGTGCGTAACAATATACTAAGCAAATCGCTAATTCAATACAGAATATTGCTGTTATCATCAGCATTCTGACAAGTATAGTGTGAAAAATATTGAAAAATATATATAAATATGAAAAAAAAATAATAAAAAACTGTACTAAAAAAATTGGTGATTATATTAGTGGCACAATTAATATATTCTTAAAACAAGAAAAGAGTGCTTCTGCTGTTATTACACTGCATATACACTTTTTGAATATATATAACTATCTTCATTTTCGTGTACCATAACGTACCAGTAAACTAATGTGGTGGGTTCACACACCCAGCAGTGTCACCACGATGGTGTGGTGGGCCCACACCCAGCAGTGTCACCACGCTGGTGTGGTGGGCCCACACCCAGCAGTGTCACCACGCTGGTGTGGTGGGCCCACACCCAGCAGTGTCACCACGATGGTGTGGTGGGCCCACACCCAGCAGTGTCACCACGCTGGTGTGGTGGTGCGACAACGTCTGACTCCCTGCCTTCTGACCCGCTGCCGTCTGACTTACTTCTGCCTGACTCGCTGCCGTCTGACTTACTTCTGTCTGACTCGCTGCCGTCTGACTCACTTCTGTCTGACTCGCTGCCGTCTGATTCACTTCTGTCTGACTCGCTGCCGTCTGATTCACTTCTGTCTGACTCGCTGCCGTCTGAATCACTTCTGTCTGACTCGCTGCCGTCTGACTCACTTCTGTCTGACTCGCTGCCGTCTGACTCACTTCTGTCTGACTCGCTGCCGTCTGACTCACTTCTGTCTGACTCGCTGCCGTCTGACTCACTTCTGTCTGACTCGCTGCCGTCTGACTCACTTCTGTCTGACTCGCTGCCGTCTGACTCACTTCTGTCTGACTCGCTGCCGTCTGATTCACTTCTGTCTGACTCGCTGCCGTCTGACTTACTTCTGTCTGACTCGCTGCCGTCTGACTTACTTCTGTCTGACTCGCTGCCGTCTGACTCACTTCTGTCTGACTCGCTGCCGTCTGACTCACTTCTGTCTGACTCGCTGCCGTCTGACTCACTTCTGTCTGACTCGCTGCCGTCTGACTCACTTCTGTCTGACTCGCTGCCGTCTGACTCACTTCTGTCTGACTCGCTGCCGTCTGACTCACTTCTGTCTGACTCACTTCTGTCTGACTCGCTGCCGTCTGACTCACTTCTGTCTGACTCGCTGCCGTCTGATTCACTTCTGTCTGACTCGCTGCCGTCTGATTCACTTCTGTCTGACTCGCTGTCGTCTGACTCACTTCTGTCTGACTCGCTGCCGTCTGACTCACTTTTGTCTGACTCGCTGCCGCCTGACTCGACGCCGCCTGACTCGACGCCGTGTGACTGGACGCCACCTGACTCGACGCCACCTGACTCGACGCCGCCTGACTCGACGTCGCATGACTCGCCGCCGCCGGACTCGATGCCACCTGACTCACCGCCGTCTGACTCGACGCCGTCTGACTCGACGCCGCCTGACTCGACGCCGCCTGACTCGACGCCGCCTGACTTACCGCAGCCTGACTCGACGCCGCCTGACTCGGCGTCGCCTGACTCGCCGCCGCCTGACCCGACGCCACCTGACTCGACGCCGCCTGACTTACCGCCGCCTGACTCGACGTCGCCTGACTCGACGCCGCCTGACTTACCGCCGCCTGACTCGACGTCGCCTGATTCGACGCCGCCTGACTCGCCCCCACCTGACTCGACGCCGCCTGACTCGCCCCCGCCTGACACGACGCCGCCTGACTCGCCGGCGTCTGGCTGACCGCCGCCTGACTCGCCGCCGCCTGACTCATGGTGGCCTCCAATATGACACACGTGTCACTACTCTAGGCACAATGTTGTTATAATTATCAGTATCCTGGCCAGTAAATTCTGAATATGAATAATTTTGCATAACGTTTATTTTCTGAAGGAGAATTCGCGATGAGTAGCTGCACCAAACATGGACAGTGTGCTGTGGTTGTCTGCGTCTCGCATTGAACATCTTTTCATTATGTTCCCTGATATCTGAACACTGTGTATGGTCTTTATTATAGTCAGGATGTTTTATAATACTATCACCGCAAAATAATTGCAGTTACTTATATTTCGTAACTTTTTTATGATGCTGTAAACATAAGCTGAACAGCGGTGCTGTTAGCTCAAGGTGCATGCATTAACCTTGTTGCTTACTAGTAATGAGGCCTTCACCCCCCTGGAAGGGTGTCCATGATTTGTTTTGTTTGTTAATAGCATCTGTTTACTGGAGGCCTGGGATAGCTGATATGAGCCCCGCGTACCCGGGGCTCATATCAGCCCCCGCACCATGTGCCCTAATACTTCACCTGATGGGATGTGCAGTCTGAGAATAATTAGCAACCCCGTCACCTGATGGGATGTGCATTCTGAGTATAATTAGCAACCCCGTCACTTGAAGCGATGTTCAATTGAAGGGTTAAACATCTAACTTAGACCTTCTCCAACCATCCTGTGTCTGTCCCATACCCCAGACCATTACCCACAAAAATTGGGTGAGGCTAACGACTGGCCATCAACTTTGGACAGACATTCTTTTAGATACGTTTTATATAATATAACCCAAAGAGTTAGAACAACGATTCTCAAATGAATCACGTCCATATTTTAATGATTATTTGTCAGTGAAAAATAAATTCCAAAAAATAAGTATCAAAAGTTCATATAATTTTTTCAATGGGCATGATTCATTTTGCTAAGGTGCAACTTAGCATCCTCTGATGAAGAGGGAAAATATATACAAATAGGCAAATCAAATTATATGTATTAAATTTGAGTGCGACGAGAAGAGAGATGATTAACCGGTCGAGGACGACCGTGTAACGCAGTCCTTTATTCTCACTGCGTGGCAGCGGTGGTAGATGGTGTCATTTTTTTTTCATTGGTCTCGTAGACGGTAGGAGGTCTCTGGATGTAAGCTTACTGTTGATAATTATATGAAAGTGTTTAATACGAAGTACTTTTGCTGTTTTTAAATAGTGGACCGTCAATGTGTAAAAAAAGAACAATAGTACACAAGAACTTTTGCACAGGTAATTTTTTCCAGTGCACTTTATTAAATGCAATAATTACATAAAGCTAGTCATATATATAGACAAGAGCTCAGTTTGGTGAGAATGTCAGGTTAATGGTGGAGACAACAACCCTTCGTGGAAGGGAACATTTTGTCTTCACAGGGTCTATAGATTACCCTTGAAGAGCCTTGAAGGTACACACTCACTCTGTCTTAAACATTTCTTTTCCACGTTTTATAATGAAATATTTTACTTCAAGAAACGTATAGGAATTTTATGTTTAAAATTTATAAAATGTAAAATGTATTTACATTCTCAGTTGTAGATAATTTGATGTTACCTAACTAGCAGGGGTTTGTACACAGCTTGTAGTTCTGTGTCTTAGCAAAGTCACTTCCTAGAGGCATAGATGAAACTCTCACCAATAGAGAGTTGCCTGAGTAATTCCTTCACTTTTTCCAAAACGTTTGACTTAATGCTAAGAAATGTATTTCAGCAGCTCATCTTTATCACCACTCGCAAGATGACAGTTAGCGTCACAGAACTCGTCGATCGTTTCACATGGATCGACTACTTGGTGTTCGGCCTCATGCTGGCGCTATCGGCCGTCATCGGTATTTTCTATGGATGTTTCAGCAAGAAGCAGGACACCAAGGAGTTCCTCATGGCTGGCAAGTCTATGACCACCTTCCCCGTGGCCATGTCTCTCATTGCTAGGTAAATATACAATGCACATCGACTTACTTTTTTTTACGCTACCATGAGCCATATTTTTCACAAAAATAGCACCAAAATTTTCACACATGGTTACGCTTCATGGCTAACGCATGGCACCAAAATTGACACGCATGATTCCATATGGGCTATTGAATATAACTTCAAACTGATCCTTTGGAGTTATCAAAGTTCACTGCTCCTTTCCTTTTCGCCATGTCTCCTCATGGTCCTCATTCATGTCAGTTCCTCACTGACCCAAACTCAACAGACAACACGGTCTCTCAAATTGTTTAAGTTGTTAGAGATATTGTTTACGAATCATATTTCACGCATATTGGAACAACATTTTCAGGGACGTTAATTTGATCATAGGTAAATTTTTTCTTATACACTGATATAAAGGATAGATGTTGAAACTATCAAGACCTCTGGTAGATAGTAAGCAGGGCTAGATCCCTGCTTACTGGATAGAGGAGAATGACGAACAATGCTTAAGCAATAAGACAGTCCAGTTCGACATTCCTTGTGTCTCTGTACTTAACTCAGCCTGTTGATCTGTGCCTATCTACTGTCAAGGGTCTTGTCCTCTTTAAATAACCTTAATAGGGTCTCGGTACAGCTACAAGTCTGGCATCAAATAAATTTACCTGAAATACCTGAATCTACCTGAGGACCATTAACACCCTAGTGGCCTCGACGAGGAGAGGAAGCCGGTGGCTTGTCAAAGGTCCCCCCATTTGCCCTGATGATTTTTTCCAGCTGGATTTTAAAAATTTAACAATGTTTTAGCATTTACGAACATAGCGGGTAGGCCGTTCCATTGGTTTATAACCCCGTGGGTGAAAAAGTGTTTCCTGTTTTAAGTCCTACATTGTGGCTTGTTGAGCTTGAAACCGTTGAACCTTATTCGTGTTACATCTGACCTTTGGAAGAAATTGCCTCCAAATTGTTCAGTATTTTAAATGTTTCGATGAGATCCACCCTGTCATGCCTGGTTTGCAGTGTTGTTAGCCCTGAGGCCTTTAACCGTTCCTGGTATGGGAGCTGATTTAGTTCAGAATTATTTTTGTTTCCTGGTGTTGTACTTTCTCCGGAGCAGCTATGTCCTTCTGAAGATCAGGTTTCCATGCTTCGATTCAATAATCAAAGTGATTGAAGCACCACAGATTGATGCAGTTGCATCACTACTTTAGTATTCTTAAAGTCAATCATGCACGATTACCACTAGGATTTGGTTAGCTTTTTTTTACCGTTTCTTCCACTTGCTGTGCAACTTTCAGTGAATGGAGGATTTTAGCTCCCAAGTCCTTTTCTTCGTCAATCTGCTGAAAAGTAATGTTATTAGTTTGCTATTTTTGACGTGGGCTTTCTCACATGCAAAGTCTTGCATATTTCGATATTAAAAAGCATTTGCCAGTCTTCTGACTTTCGCAGAGATTAATGGAATCGCTTTGTAAGGCTTCAAAATAATTTTCTTTTCCCACTTTGCCATAAATCTTAGTGTCATCTGAAAATTTGATGATGTTGTTTGTTGTAACATTCCCTACTTCTTTAATGACAAATATTATAGGCCCCAAAATGAACCCCTGTGTTACCCCACTCGCCACATTTCGCCAGTCAGATTCCTTTCCCACATAGCACGACCACTTTCTTTTTTATTCTTTGCCTATTGTTTTCTTTGTTTTAACCGTAGTTTTACCATTCTAGTATTCTACCATTTATTCCATGTACCTGTAATTTTTTGCTAGTTTTTTCATGTAGTACCTTAGCAAGGCTTTAGAAAATCCATGTAAACTGCATTCAACGGAAGCCAGCTGGTTACCGTTTCAAAAAATGAAAGCAGGTTTGTAAGGCCGGATTAACAAAGCCATGTTTAGTCGATTTCATAAGATTGTTCGGTGTGATGATGAATGATTCTCTCTCTTAGGGTTCTCTCCAAAAGGATGCAGATGTGTGATGTCAAGCTGATCGGATAGTAGTTTTTGCTGAGCTCTTTCGGTCTTTCTTAAAAATAGGCGTAATATTTGCATATTTTCAATCTAGGGAAATTATCCCTTAGTCCAGCGATTTTCTGGAAAGCCGTTTCAAAGCGGTAGGCATATTTTCTGGAAAGCAGTAGGCATAGTTCCTCTGCTAGTTCTTTTGTGACTTTAGATTGATTACCTCTACACTTGGAGCTTTTGAGTCTTTTAGTTTGTCAATGTTCTTTCTCATTATGTCGCATATTATGAGTATATCCCTTCATTCATTCTTTTCATTTCCTTCAAATATTTGTGTAGGTGATTGGATGTCATTTAATTTTTCGAGTTTTCAGTACTTTACATTGATGTAGAGTATTCAATCAAAGTGTTTCCTGCCCATTTATCATCCATTAAAACTTGGTTAGTCTCATCTTTTAAGGGTCCAACTGAGTTCTTTGTTTTAGTTTTACCTCTTATATAGGCACAGAACGGTTTTGGATCTTTATTTATGTTTTTGGCAAGTTTTTGTTCGTAGTTTCATTTAACTTATCTGATTTCCTGGCTGGCCTAGGTTAGTGTTCTTTTTTATATACCTAATAATCAATGATGCTCATCGCCGATTTAAACATTCTCCAGATCGTTTGCTTAATTATTAATATTCATTTCACTACCTGTGTTATCTATCTAGTTCCCTTTCTTTTCTTACTCGTTATTGGAACATATTTTTTGAACCAGTTAATTGATGGTCTTGGAATCTCCCCATGATGCTTCCATGCCCTGAACACCTATCAGCTTCGCCCAGGAGATGTTTTGCAGTTCCTCTCTCATTTCTTGATAAGTCTCCTCGAGGGTAGTCGAGAAATTCATCATCCTGAACATTTTATAGGCTTCTTTACTTGTAATCCATCTTAAAATATAGAGATCACACGAGAGGGTGAGCTTTTCCCCTACCTGAATTTGTTTAATTATGTCATCTTCTGAAATTAGCACAAGATCAAGAATGCTTTTACCACATGTGTGGTAAAAGTGTGGTCTTACACTCTGCCACATGCTGTGTAAGAGAAAAGTCGTAAACCAGGTCAATACATTGCTCTCCCATATATATATATATATATATATATATATATATATATATATATATATATATATATATATATATATATATATATATATATATATATATATATATATATATGTCGTACCTAGTAGCCAGAACGCACTTCTCAGCCAACTATGCAAGGCCCAATTTGCCTAATAAGCAAAGTTTTCATGAATTAATTGTTTTTCGACTACCTAACCTACCTAACCTAACCTAACCTAACTTTTTAGGCTACCTTACCTAACCTAACCTATAAAGATAGGTTAGGTTAGGTTAGGTAGGGTTGGTTAGGTTCGGTCATATATCTACGTTAATTTTAACTCCAATAAAAAAAAATTGACCTCATACATAATGAAATGGGTAGATTTATCATTTCATTTGAAAAAAAATTAGAGAAAATATATTAATTCAGGAAAACTTGGCTTATTAGGCAAATCGGGCCTTGCATAGTAGGCCGAGAAGTGCATTCTGGCTAATAGGTGCGACATATATATATATATATATATATATATATATATATATATATGCATATATATATATATATATATATATATATATATATATATATATAGATATATATATATATATATATATATATATATATATATATATATATATATATATATATATATATATATATGTCGTACCTAGTAGCCAGAACTCACTTCTGAGCCTACTATGCAAGGCCCGATTTGCCTAATAAGCCAAGTTTTCATGAATTAATTGCTTTTCGACTACCTAACCTACCTAACCTAACCTAACCTAACTTTTTCGGCTACCTAACCTAACCTAACCTATAAAGATAGGTTAGGTTATGTTAGGTAGGGTTGGTTAGGTTCAGTCATATATCTACGTTAATTTTAACTCCAATAAAAAAAAATTGACCTGTTACATAATGAAATGGGTTGCTTTATCATTTCATAAGAAAAAAATTAGAGAAAATATATTAATTCAGGAAAACTTGGCTTATTAGGCAAATCGGGCCTTGCATTGTAGGCTGAAAAGTGAGTTCTGGCTACTAGGTACGACATATATATATATATATATATATATATATATATATATATATATATATATATATATATATATATATATATATATATATATATGTCGTACCTAATAGCCAGAACGCACTTCTCAGCCTACTATTCAAGGCCCGATTTGCCTAATAAGCCAAGTTTTCATGAATTAATGTTTTTTCGTCTACCTAACCTACCTAACCTAACCTAACCTAGCTTTTTTTGGCTACCTAACCTAACCTTACCTATAAATATAGGTTAGGTTAGGTTAGGTAGGGTTGGTTAGGTTCGGTCATATATCTACGTTAATTTTAACTCCAATCAAAAAAAATTGACCTCATACATAGAGAAAAGGGTTGCTTTATCATTTCCTAAGAAAAAAAATATAGTAAATATATTAATTCAGGAAAACTTGGCTTATTAGGCAAATCGGGCCTTGAATAGTAGGCTGAGAAGTGAGTTCTGGCTACTAGGTACGACATATATATATATATATATATATATAATATAGGAAGGGAGTACCACCTCTAGCTGGAAGAAGGGGGACCCATAGCCTCGGAGGAAACCACGCATAACGCATTAGATATATATATATATATATATATATGTCGTGTATATATATATATATATATATATATATATATATATATATATATATATATATATATATATATATATATATATATATATATATATATATATCGGTGCTGGGACCAATCCTCTTTCTAATTTACGTAAATGATATGTTTACAGGAGTGGAATCATACATGTCAATGTTTGCGGATGACGCAAAATTAATGAGAAGAGTTGTGACAGACGAGGATTGTAGGATCCTCCAAGAGGACTTAAACAAGTTGCAGAGATGGTCAGGGAAATGGCTACTGGAGTTTAACACCAGTAAATGTAAAGTTATGGAAATGGGATCAGGTGATAGGAGACCAAAGGGACAGTACACAATGAAGGGGAACTGCCTTCCTGTAACGATTCGAGAAAGAGACCTGGGAGTGGATGAAAATAGGATAACGACAGCAGCGTACTCTACACTGGCGAAAATTAGAACTTCATTCAAAAACCTAAATGAGGAGGCTTTTAGGGCACTTTACACTGCCTACGTGAGACCCGTCTTAGAGTATGCCGCGCCATCATGGAGCCCCCACCTGAAGAAACACATAAGGAAACTGGAGAAGGTTCAGAGGTTTGCGACGAGGCTTGTCCCAGAGTTGCGAGGGATGGGATATGAAGAGCTTCTGAAGGAACTGAACCTTACGACACTAGAGAAAAGAAGGGAGAGAGGAGATATGATAGGGACATATAAAATACTCAGGCGCATTGACAAAGTGGAAATAGATGAAATGTTCACACGTAATAATAACAGAACGAGGGGACATGGGTGGAAACTGGAAACTCAGATGAGTCACAGAGATGTTAGGAAGTTTTCTTTCAGCGTGAGAGTAGTGGAAAAATGGAATGCACTTGGGGAACAGGTTGTGGAAACAAATACTATTAATACTTTTAAAATTAGGTATGATAGGGAAATGGGACAGGAGTCATTGCTGTAAACAACCGATAGCTGGAAAGGCGGGATCCAAGAGTCAAGGCTCGATTCTGCAAGCACAAATAGGTGAGTACACACACACACACACACACACACCCACACACACACACACACACACACACACACACACACACACACACACACACACACACACACACACACACACACACACACACACACACACACACACACACACACACACACACACACACACACTCACTCTCTCTCTCTCTCTCTCTCTCTCTCTCTCTCTCTCTCTCTCTCTCTCTCTCTCTCTCTCTCTCTCTCTCTCTCTCTCTCTCTCTCTCTCTCTCTCTCTCTCTCTCTCTCTCTCTCTCTCTCTCTCTCTCTCTCTCTCTCTCTCTCTCTCTCTTTCTCTTCCCATTTCTTCTGCCTCACTTCATCATCCTATTTTCTCCTTCCCTGTGTTTTCTCCCTCCATCCCTCTCTGTCCAACTACTTGGGCTGGAGAGTAGAGCGACTGTCTCGCTTTCATGCAGGTCGGCGTTCAATCCCCGACCGTTCAAGTGGTTGAACACCATTTCTTTCCACACGTCCCATCACAAATCCTTATCCTGATACCTTCAGAGTGTTATATAGTCATAGGGGCTTGGCGCTTTCCCCTGATAATTCCCTCTCTCCCTCCATCCCGCTCTCTCAGCCTCCCTCCCATTCTTACTGCCTCTCTCCCTCCCTCCATTTCTCTCTCTTTCCATAGCTCCATTCTCTCTCCTCCTCACTCCCTGTTCACTCTCCCAGTGGACAAACCACGCGCAAATAATATTTCATGAAAATTAGCAACGTTGAATTAACGTTAGCGATGTTGACTCAACGTTATCGATATCCTAACCACTCATCATAAATTGAAGAGATGACGTTTCTGTCGTGACGAAACGTCATTTCTTCACTTTCTGATGTGGGATTCGGTCATGATACCTTCTGTCACGTTACTGTGACTCGTCTCCTAAGTTATCGATTTTGATTCAACGATGAACTTGATTCACCGGTCAACACATGAACTTGATGAATAAAAGCACAGAAAAGTTACTTGCTGTTTTTTTTACTGAATAATGACTAACAATAAACTTACAATTAAAGATGCTGGAGGAAGTTTTGAATAAAAGATGAGGAAAAAGTTCTCTGTTTGTATGATATAACAGTAACAAATGTTCTCCCTTTTGATAGTTTCATGTCGGCCATCACGCTGCTGGGGACGCCGTCGGAGGTTTACCAGTTCGGGTTCATCTACTGGCTTATTATATTCTCCTACATGCTGGTCATGCCTGCTGCCGCCTACCTCTACTTCCCTGTCTTCTACAAGCTCCAGGTATACCTTACTTTCCTTTCATAATGCTCTCACCCTAATTATCATTGTGATTGTAATAATTGAAAATATGACGGAAAATGCAACAGTTATGACGAGGGTAAATAAAGGTGGGCCACATAGTATATCATGCTTATGACTTTAGAGCATTAACCTGTACATGAGGCGGGGGTTGAGGAGCAGTGAACCGATTATACCTCGCTCATATTCAACACACGTTCCATTGTGCTGACATAAATATTGCACTTGCGTATGCCGCATTAGTGTGGTGGGTGTAGTGGGCTGGGTGGAGGGCAGGATGGTGATTGGGAGAGTACAGGAAATAACAGAAAGTACAAGAGAGTGTTCAGTGATAGTGAAGGTGGGTTCCGTGCTGCAGGAGGCTGCGCTGTTCAGGTATGGCTTTAAGGCAACTTGTGGAGAAGGCAGGTGAGAAATATTGTGAGGTCATGGCTCTCAATGACTTGGAAAAACCATATGGCAAAGTTAATAATGAATGACACAAGAGAGTACTGTGTGTGTGTATGAGTTGGCTGAGTTCTGTTAAGTGTATAATGTTCATGTAAGTAGCAGCGTATATGTTTGTGTGAATGGTGTAATGTGTGACTAGGTTAGTGTTATTGTAGGTGTATTTCAGGGTTGTGTGGTGTACCTTATGTTGATCATTCTTACATGTCTGAGCTATGTGAGTGGCGACGGTAACAGTATTAGAGAAAGATGTAAACCTTGTGGATGATGGAAGTACTTGGAGTACGTATAATTTGTATTCAGATCATGCAATTCTTTAAGAAGAACATAAGAGATATTTATGTATACCGGCTTATTATTGTATAGCCATGTGTGAGAGGAAATTGCTTATGGTGAATGTGGACTAAAGAGTAAGGCTACGATGGTGAAGAGAGATATGAAACTGTGTGTAATTGGAGTAAATAGAAAAGTGTAAGAAGGGCTTAATATTGGAGACTTTTGGAATGTGTGAGTGACAAAGTGTAGTTCATGCTAGCGAGGCTGAGATTGGAGAGAGTCAGGGAAGAATAGCGACAGTTCGAATAGACTTGGGCTCGAATAGTTCAATTCGAGCCCAAGCTAGAAAATCAATAATTAGATCAGTAGATGTGGACAGACTGAGAGGCATGTTTTCTGTTGAAGGACTATATATATAAGAGGGAATTGATGGCAATGAAAGATGTGAAATTCAAAAATAGACGAGTTGGATTGTGGTGAGTGAACTGAGATTGTTTGGTCACGTTATGGATGGAAGAAGACAGTGGAGTTTTATGGTAGAAGAGGGAGATGAATACCGTAAAGAATTGGGCAGACATAAGCAATGAGTGAGGAAATGTAATAGTGAGAGGACTACAATGGATGTGATAGGAAAAACGGCTAGGTGGCAACAATATGTGAAGCTGGAGTGTTATGTTTCTATATTGACAGCTCATCAGGAGCAGCGTGAGTCTGGTCTTACGAGACGTTGGGGGTGACGCTGTTGTGGTGAGAGTATGCGGTAATGTGGTGGTGATTGTTTCTCCGTAATACTCTGTGTACCATGGGGTGAGCGTAATACTCTGTGTACCATGGGGTCAATGTACTAGCCTCATTTGACTTCCATATTAGAGTCCCCCTTTTTTACTTCTGGTTAAGATTCTCCACTCTATGATAAATATTTTACATATGTTTGTACACTAATGGTTCAGAAGGATTTATTTATCAGCTGAAGTGAATTTTTATTCTTATTCAATATATTTAAATTACGAACTTACTTTATACAAATTGTGGCCGACAGTCTCCCTGAACAAATTTGGCATATGTAATACTGACTTTCACCGGCAGGTAACCTCCGCCTACGAATACCTTGAGAAGCGGTTCCATAGATCAGTGCGGTGGCTGGGCTCCTTGGTGTTTATCATCCAGGTGTGTAGTGAGGGAGAGCGTGTGTTAGGAAGCTGTCATTGTAGTGTCAGAGTAAATTACTTGCCTTGATCAGAAGGTCCCATTGGTATAGCATTATCTCTGACAAATAATAACCAATTAAAACCAAGTAACTAACATACACTTGTTTTACCGCTCGCGCCCAGATGACGCTGTACATGGCCATTGTGGTCTACGCTCCAGCACTCGCCCTCGCTCAGGTCACAGGACTCGACGTTTACGTCTCCGTCAGCCTCATCTGCTTCGTCTGCATCTTCTATACCACTCTTGGCGGCATGAAGGCTGTCCTCTGGACCGACGCACTCCAGGTGAGCATCGTACACCTAGAGTGTACGAGATCTAAATGGCATCCTGGTCTCATTACTTGCAAATCGGTCTCTTGGCCTGCAGGTCTGACTCTTGACCTGCAGGTATGACTCTTGATCAGTAGGTGGGACTCGTGACCTGCAGGTGTGACTCTTGAACTGTATGTGTGACAGGGAAACCTGTCCTCTTACAAATTACGTCTAAATTAAGCCGTTTGCCCGTTTGGCCGAAAATGGACGTAATTTAAAAATGAAAAGTAAATTAAATAAATTTGGGATTTTTGTTTTCCAAAACAGTAAGTTGAGGGTCCTCTGGTAGGATAGGAGGGCAGGAAATTCTCTTAAAGTTTGAAAAGGTCATGAAAAACGCTATTTGAAAGTTTCCTCTCCTCACATTACCGAGTAAGCCGGAGGACTCAAACAGAAAACGGGACAGTACATCACTTCCGTGACCCGATTTCATTTGAAATTACGTGCATTTTTGGCCATAGCATGTACACGAGCGAAGAGCGACGGTATTTTTAAGAGGACGGGTTGCTTAATCAGTAGGTTGGACTCTTGACCTGCATGTAGGTGTCGTGATTCTTATGTGAGTGTCCTGACCTTCAGGTGGGTCTCTTGAACTTCAGGTGATGATCTGAAGGTCGGTTTCATGAAATAAAGGTGAATCTATTGATGTGCTGGTGGGTCCTTTGATGTGCTGGTGGGTATCTCGATGTGCTGGTGGGTCTCTTGATGTGCTGGTGGATATCTTGAGGTGCTGGTGGGTCTCTTGATGTGCTGGTGGATCTCTTGATATGCTGGTGGGTCTCTTGTGGGCTGGTGGATCTCTAGATGTGCTGGTGGGTCTCTTGTGGGCTGGTGGATCTCTAGATGTGCTGGTGGGTCTCTTGATGTGCTGGTGGATATCTTGAGGTGCTGGTGGGTCTCTTGATATGCTGGTGGGTATCTCGATGTGCTGGTGGGTCTCTCGATGTGCTGGTGGGTCTCTTGATGTGCTGGTGGATCTCTTGATATGCTGGTGGGTCTCTTGTGGGCTGGTGGATCTCTAGATGTGCTGGTGGGTCTCTTGTGGGCTGGTGGATCTCTTGATATGCTGGTGGGTCTCTTGTGGGCTGGTGGATCTCTAGATGTGCTGGTGGGTCTCTTGTGGGCTGGTGGATCTCTTGTAGGCTGGTGGATCTCTAGATGTGCTGGTGGGTCTCTTGTAGGCTGGTGGATCTCTAGAGGTGCTGCTGGGTCTCATGATGTGCTGGTGTGTCTCTTGATGTACTGGTGGGTCTCTTGATGTGCTGGCGAGTCTTTTGATGTGTTGGTGGGTCCCTCGATGTACTGGTGGGTCTCTTGATGCTAGTGGGTCTCTTGATGTCTCTAGTGGGTCTCTTAATATACTGGTGGGTCTTTTGATGTGCCGGTGGGTCTCTTGTTATGCTTGTGGGTCTCTGTAAGTTCTGGTGGGTCTCTGTAAGTTCTAGTGGGTCTCTTGATGTGCTGGTGGGTCTCTTGATGTGCAGGTGGGTCTCTTACTGGTGGGTCTCTTGTTGTGCTGATGACACTCTTGATGTGCTGGCGAGGGTCTCTTGATGTGCTGGAGGGTTTCTTGATGTGCTGGTGGATCTCATGGTGTGCTGGTGGGTCTCTTGATATGCTGGTGGGTCTCTTGATATGCTGGTGGGTCTCTTGATGTGCTGGTGGGTCTCTTGATGTGCTGGTGGATCTCATGATGTGCTGGTGGTTCTCTTGATGTGCTGCTGGGTCTCTTGACGTGCTGTTGGGTCTCTTGGTGTGCTGGTGGGTCTTTTGATATGGTGGTTGTAAGTAAGTAATTATAAAAAAGAAGGCACCAAACCGGGATGGCTATGTAGCTCCATCAAATGGGCGGAATAATCAGAGGGCGCTAAATATCACCAAGGATGCCAATACGAGAACAGAAACGTATAAGGCGAACGATATCAAAAGTATCCGATTCACCAAGAATTCTATCGAGGGACAAGTGACCGTGAGGGGCGGTTGGAAAGCAAGACACACGCTTGTCCTGGAAGTCAGGACATTCAACAAGGAAATGCACGACGGTAAGAGGGACAATGCAATTTGGACAACAAGGAGCTGAGCGGCGCTCCATTAAGTGACCGTGAGTTAAGCGAGTATGGTCAAGACGCAACCGCGCTAGAGCCGTTTCCCACCGCCGGTTACGGTGGTAGGAGGAAGGCCACGGGGACACACAATGCTTAAGAGTCCGCAGTTTGTTACCAACAACCCTGCCAACGGGCAAGGATAGAGGAATGAATAACCGGATAAAAGTCAGAAAAAGGAATACCTTTACGGGAAATGGGACAAGAGCGAATAGCCTCCCTAATGGCAGCATCTGCGTGCTCATTTAAAGAAACACCAACATGGCTTGGAACCCAGCAAAACTCCACGGATTTAAATTTACTAGAGATAAGAAACAGCCAATGTTGAATCTCGACGAAAACAGGATGGACAGGATTAAAGAACCCGAGAGCCATGAGGGCACTACAAGAGTCAACGACAGTCACAAAGGAGGATTGACAACTAGAAAGCAGGAGACGGAGAGCATGGAGAATAGCACAAAGCTCCGGTGTGAAGATGCTAGTCTCCGAAGAAAGGCGACACATATAAGTGCGGTCAGGAAAAACAACGGAGTAGCCCACACCGTCCGCGGACTTAGACCCATCGGTGAAGATGGAAACGAAGTGGGAGTGTGAAGAAAAGTGCTTAAGAAAAGTGTTTCAGAACTGTAGGAGGAGTAAAAGCTTTAGTAATGCGAGTCAAGGACGTACAAGACTTCGGAAGGGGGACCCTCCACAGGGGCAAGAAAGGAAGAATACGAGGAGAAATACGAGAAAGACGAATGGAAAGAGAGACCTGTAAGTGAGAAAGCAGGACAGAAAGAGGGAGGTGGTGAAGAGGAACAGGAACTACAGGAGGGGTAAAAGTCAAAGCACGACAGAGGCAATTGGAAGGATGTTGCAAGGATCACGCCAGATAGCGAAGACAGTAGCGATCACGGCGGTCCTGTAGAGATAGGAAACCAGTGTCAACATACAACCCGTTCTCGCAAATTCGTAAAGTCAATATTGACTTATTAACTACGTGCATAGGTGATATACTAAACATAATAGATACCCTTAAAAAGATTCATAGAAAACACCAACCTTACCTAACCTTGTTAGTATCATAAGATAAGCATCTTATTGCTTCGTAATTACAATTATTACTTAACCTATACCTATTATAGGTTAGGTAATAATTGTAATTACGAAGCAATAAGATGCTTATCTTAACATACTAAGTAGGTTAGGTAAGGTCGGTGTTTTCTATGAATCTTTTTAAGGGTATCTATTATGTTAAGTATGTCACCTATGCACATATTTAATAAGTCAATATTGACTTATTAAATTTGCGAGAACGGGTTGCAACATACAAGCTGAGGGAGGGCGTCAAACGAAAGGCACCAGAGCTGAGGCGCAACCCAGTATGGTGCAAAGCATCAAGACGGCGAAGAGTAGAAGGAGAAGCAGATGACTAAGCAGGGCAACCATAATCGAGTTTAGACAGGACGAGTGAGAAATGTAGAGAGAGGGGCGTACACCTATCCGCCCCCCAAGAAGTATGGGACAAAACCCTAAGGAGGGAGAGGGCCTTAGAGCATTGAGCACGGAGGTAAAAAATATGGGCTGGCCAAGACAAACGAGTGTCAAAGATTAACCCCAGAAGCTTAGCGGAATCCACACAAGGGGATGTCCATAAAGAGACAAAGAGGGACGAAAAATGACTCGCTTCCGAGTAAAAGTCATAGCACATGTCTTAGATGCAGAGAACTTGAAGCCATGATCGGTGGCCCAAGACAACACGGCATCAATCGCAAGTTGAAGCCGCCATTGAAGGAGAGGCGAATCATCACCCCGACAGCAAAGGGTAAGATCGTCTACATAGAGTGCGGAGAAGACGCCAGAAGGAAGGGAGCAAAGAAGACCATTGAGAGCAACAAGAAAAAGAGTATTGCTCAGAACACTACCTTGGGCACACCCTCATATTGTCGAAAAGGGGCAGAGAGAGTGGTACCGAGCCTCACTCGAAAGGAATGACGAGAGAGGAAACTTTGGAGGAAGAGGGGGACATTCAAAGGCCAAAAGAATGAAGTTGGGACAGAATATGATACCGCCAGGTAGTGTCGTAACCCTTTTCCAGATGATAAAGGACGGCAACAACGGAGGTCTTCGCAGCAAAAGCAGTACGAATATAGACCTCCAAGTTCACCAGAACATATGTTGTACTGCAGCATTTGCGAAGACCAAATTGAGAAGGGGAAAGGAGATGATAGTGCTATAAGAACCACATCAGACGGTCGTTAACCATACGTTCAAAGAGCTTGCAGACACAACTCGTGAGAGCAATAGGGCGTCTAAATAGGGAAGACCCGAGAGACCCTGGTTTCCAAACAGGGAGGACAACAGCGTTGAGCCAGTCCTCAGGGACTGACGACGACTCCCAGACCCAATTAATCATACTCAGTAAATACTGAGACGAGCACGGAGGGAGATGTCGAAGCATCTCATAATGAATGCCATCAGAGCCTGCTTGCCGTAGAACAGCAGAGGGCCGGGGCAGAAGGGAGCTCAGAGATAGAGAAGCGATCGTTGTAGGGAAGGCAGAGATAGGTGCAGAAATCCAAAGGACGAGATTCAAGAAGAGGCTTACGAAGAAGGAAGGAATGGGGGAGATGAGAACCAGAGCCAACAGATGAAAAGTGGGAACCCAATTCGGTCGCGACCTGCACTGGGTCCGCCACAAGAGTACCACTGAGGTGAAGGAACGGGGAGACATCGGGAACGAACTTACCTGCTATCTTGCGGATACGCTTCCAGATCAAAGGGAGAGGAGTGTCGGACGTGATGGTCGAGACATAAGACATCCAACATGCACGTTTAGCCATACGGAAGGTCCTACGGGCCACCGCACTTTCCTTCCGAAACAAAAGA